TGTTTTTATGCAAAGGGGGGAATGGAAAGTGGCTGTTTGGACAGTTGGCCGTGTTATACAGGAGGCAATCATGAAAAGTTCCACTGCATATTTTAGCATTTACGTTTAAGATTTAGCTGTTTAAAGAGTATAAATACCAAAAGCGATTCTGGACTTCAAAAAGTGAACGTTACAGCTGAGAGTACATTTTAAGCCGAGCCCATTCTACCGAAGTTTTCCTACATTCTCATCTCATAAAATCACATGGGAAAACAGAAACAACACGGATCAGAAACAACACGGATCAGAAACAACACACGGATCAGAAACAACACGGAACAGAAACAACACGGATGAGAAACCCACCGGCCACTGCGTGATCTCGTCGGGCCACTCAAAGGGAGGAGAGGAAGACGGCTTGTTGCAGTATCTGTGGACAACGAAGATAAGATAAGATAAGATAAGATACATCTTTATTGTCCAGATCCTGGCATATTGGTTTGGTGAAGAATACCCGAACATATTATTATCATTATCACTTACAAAGTCAGTCATCGAACGGATCACTGAATAAAAGGTGAGTGACATCCACATTAGGAAAAAGACCCAAACAGCGAATAGGAGTTATTGGCGCTCATACGACCTTATGCAGTTGTGAGCGCCGTAAAACCTCTACTAAAACAAACAAACAGGAGTGAGGTTGAGAGACAGTTCACCACAAGTCTGCAAGACAATATCCTTTTGTTTTAGTAAGAGTTTTACGGCACTTGCATCACAATAAGGTCATATAAGTGCCGAAGATTAGAGGAGTTACAAGAGAGTAACAAACACAAAAAAGAAGAAGGAGAGATAAGGACGATAGATGTTTGATAGGAAAGAAGAAGCAAAATACAGGGTGCTGCACAGTGGCTACCAGCAATGGCATGGTTGTAAATTGTTCTGTACTTGTGTAATATTATGTATTTATGTATATATTTGTCCATGTATTTAACGTGTGTGGGTTTTGTGTGTGTGTGAGAGTGTGTGTGTGTGTGTGTGTAAGTGTGAGAGAGAGAGTGTGTGTGTGTGTGTGTGTGTGTGT